TGTCATGGGTAACTTGTTTAACAAGTTATAAGTTTTTATGCTTGTTAAAAATGGACACCTCCAAAGGTTGTAATATTAATTATTAAGGTATAATCCAAATGTTGTACTATTAAAAAAAAAACCGGCCAATGGTTGTATTATTATTTACAATTTTTCCTAAAGGTGATCATGTTTGTAATATATCTATAAAATTCTAAAATGAAAATTCATGGGTTGGTTTGTATTTCTATAATAACATCTTTTCATTTAATTCCATTTGAGTCCTTTATTATTATTTTTTTGGTAGTATATGTGGAAGTATTTTCATTTGATTTGTAGATAAGTATCACTTTCTTTGTTCTTGTCCATTTAACATGGTAAATTTATTACGTTTGTCAACACAATACATCAATTTAATCACCTAAATTATAAATTCGTAATAAGTAAAAATCATAAAATAATTAATTTTATAATAGAACTTATTGAGATGGTTCAAACAAGATCTCATATAATTATGTTTTTTGTTAAGTATGAATTTTAGAAGATCATCAAATGTAAATATGTGAATAGTGCAAAAGTTAAACTAGGTCAAGTATGTGAAAAATAACAAAGAGTGCCTGTTTACAGATAGCTATAGGTATAGCATAAACTGGAAACTCAATGCGTTGGCTTTTTTTGGTTTTTAATCGGATATATAAACATACTATATCCTTCGTTCTTTTTAAATTACAACGTTTGAGAATATTTTTTAAAACAAATTTTTGAGATTTTATATTCCGAATTATTTATACACGTTCCTTTGACTGTAATTTGTATTTTATACATACGTTATAAAAAATATATACTCATGTGAGGTTTGCCTAGAATTCTACACTAAAGTACAAAAAGAAAATCAATGGTTGGAATTAAATGTTATAATTATTTCCTCATCCATGTTTTAATCACTTTGACTCTTTGTTACATAAATTAAGTTGATTTCCATTATGCATATCCCAATCACTCTCAAAATTATAATACCAATTAGATTATTAAAAATAAATAGATAAATAAAATTTAAAACAAATCCATTTTGTACATAATAGTGTTGCACAAATTATAGGAAAATTTATAGGGTGGGAGCCTAATTAACGGAGAATATTATGTACTACGAAGTACTAAGTAATATAAAGTAGTTAGTGTAGATATATGTAATTGTTAGCATGAGATAATAAATAATAAAAAAAGTAGTATAAGTAGAGTTGGTCGGAGAGAGAATTAATATTACAGTATTGAGTTCTTACAAAAAAAAAAAGAATTATTGCAATTATTATGAAACGAACATATTAAAAAAGTGTTATGATTAATACAAAACGGAGGGAGTACAAATTTAGACGAATTTAACAAATCCTACATATAAACCTATTTTTTTTCTTTCCGTATAAAGTACTATATAATGTCATAAGAAAGAGTATGTATAATGTCAAAACTTTAATGTTACAAGTAAAATTGGAGGAATAGATCGGTATAATAGAGTAACTAAATATATTTGTATTATGATATAAATTATGTAGTAAATTTTTTTTTTTTTTGAATTTAGTCTAATATATTGCAAGAGATTACCCTAGGCCTGAGGTCCTTTTACTTATGCAAGGAGAAGGCCCAAGGCAAAGCAGGTTGTTGATGCTTGAGGATGAGCTGGACACAGTTTCTTATGCTTGAGGGCAGGAGTGTCATTTTGGAAATAAGTTTGTTATTATGTTTAGCTGTAATAATTGGGTTTGTTATGGATAATTAAGATTATAGATACTGTTAAGGGGATAGGGGGAAGGTATCTAGAAAATTATTGCTAAGTTGCTTGGGAGAGAACCTTCCTCTCGAAAGAAGGCCATTGTATTGTGATTGATCTGATTGCAGTACAAATATTTGGGTTTGCTATTCTTTTATCTTTGATTAGCTTGAATTCTCTCTGTTTTTCATACTAAATCCTAGCAAATTTGGTATTAGAGCAGTGACAATTCTTGCCGGAGAAGACAATGGCTTGTCCGAACCATGGACAGAGGCTGGATTTGCTGGAACAGGAAATTGTTGGGCTGCCCTCGCGCGTTACTCGAGAAATTTCCACATCCATGGCAGCCTTCAAAAGGGATTTATCCGACCAGATAATTGCTGGACAGGAGAAAATCCGATCGGAGGCGCGCTCCACTCTAGCAACTGGGCCGCAATCGGTGGAACCCGGCGGTTACCAATGGGATAACCCATTTTCTTCGCAACCTCACTTGGATCATGGTGATGGTGGATTCCAGGCGGGTCAGTCTAATTGGAAGTTAAGAATGCTTGACTTGCCAAGTTTTGATGGAGTGAACCCTGATGGATGGATTCTCAGAGCTAAACGGTTCTTCCATTTCTACTGGTTGTCGGAGGAAGACCATCTGGAGGCGGCGATTGTCACTCTTGACGAAGATGCTCTGCTCTGGTATCAGTGGGAGAATAGGAGACATACCGTGGCAAGTTGGGAAACCTTGAAGAAGCTCCTTCTCCGCCAATTCAGATCCACCGCGACGGGGTCGGTCCATGAGTAGTGGCTCGCTCATCAGCAAACCGGCAAGGTGGCTGAGTATTGTCGCCGGTTTATCAAACTTTTGGCCCAGATTGATGGAGTTCCAAAAGAAATCTCGAAGGGGCAGTATATAAATAGCCTGAAGGAGGATATTCGGGTCAAGGTCCGAATCCAAAACCCGCCCACGCCGGATCTTGCCATGGACCTCTCTAAGCGGATCAAGGAGAAGATTAAACTAAGACCAAAGCCCAAAGCCCACATTACACCCTTGCCCAGTTGGAGAACCTAGTACCAAAATACATGACCCAACCCTAATACCTCCCTAACCTTGAACCCAAACGCTTCCCAAACCACAAGGCAACATCACAACCAAATCAACCCAACCAAGCATTACACCAACCGCTTTCCTAACCCAAAACCCGCCGGAGAATTGCGCCGGTTGACCGAAAAGGAGCTGCAACAGAAACGAGAGCAGGCTCTCTATTTCTGTTGCGACGGGAAATGGGAACTGAACCACCGCTGTCAGCACCGCGGCTTGAGTGTGTTGCTGACGGTGGATGATGAGGACGGAGAAGACATTGGCGAGCTTTCCGTGGATAAAACCACCCTAGAACCACCTATCACCCCGTCTACCCTCACGGATTCGCCACCCCTTATGGATACCCAGGTCTCACTGAGCTCAGTATTGGGTCTCACCAGCCCGACGACCATGCTTTTGGCTGGAGTAATTAATGGAAGCTCTGTGGTGGCGATGGTCGACCTGGGAGCGACTCATAACTTCATTTCTTCCACCGCCGCGTAAAAATTACAGGTAACACTGATCTACCCTAAGAATTTTGGAGTTACTTTGGGTACGGGAGAAATTGTTCAAGGAGAGGGGGAGTGTAAGGGGGTAGTGCTGGACCTCCAAGGGGTGACAATTGTTGAGGATTTCCTCATATTACCCCTAGACATCATCCTTAGCATTCAGTGGTTAGAAAAATTGGGTAATACAACCACTAATTGGAAAACTCAGACGCTTAAGTTCCAAGTGGGAGGTGAACCGTGACCTTAAAAGGGGACCCACAGCTGGGAAGGACGGGAATCTCGCTTAAAGCTATGTTAAAGAATTTTCAGAAAGAGGGACATGGGTACTTGCTTGAATTCAATTGAATGGAGCAAGTGGAGAAAGTTGAAGCACCCTTGGTTCTAGTAGCTTTCCAGCCTTTGGTGCAGGAATTTCATCGGGTTTTTGATATGCCTCAGGGGTTGCCACCGCAACGACAAATAGAACATGCTATTGTACTTCGCAGTGGCGCTGACCCGATCAGCGTCAGGCCCTACAGGTACCCTCAGTCTCAGAAAGATGAGATTGAAAAGTTGGTGACGGATATGTTAAGTGCTGGCATCATACGATCCTCTACAAGCGCCTATTCGAGTCTGGTGCTTTAAGTTAAGAAAAAAGATGGCTCATGGCGTTTCTGTGTGGATTACAAGGCTTTGAATAAAGAGACAATCTCGGATAAATTTTCTATTCCAATCATCGAAGAGCTATTGGATGAGTTGGGAGGCACGTCCATCTTTACAAAACTCGACCTAAAATCGGGATATCACCAGATTAGGGTGAAGGCTGAGGATGTGCACAAGACTGCCTTTAGGACCCACGAGGGTCACTATGAATTCTTGGTTATGCCCTTTGGGCTAACCAACGCGCCAGCCACTTTTCAGTCCTTAATGAACGAGGTCTTCCGACCATTTCTCCGGAAATTCGTCCTTGTATTTTTTGATGACATTCTCGTGTACAACACTTCTAAGGAGTCCCTTTTGCATCATCTCCGACAGGTTGTGGAAACTATAGCTACACACGAATTGTATGCTAATTACAAGAAGTGTGAGATAGGCAAAACTCGAGTGGCATATCTCGGGCATATGATTTCTGCAGATGGGGTTAAGGTGGATGCCACAAAAATACAAGCCATGGTAGATTAGCCTCCTCCTTTGAATTTGAGGGAGTTGAGAGGTTTTCTTGGTCTCACGGGATATTACCGCAAATTCATCAAGGGCTATGCTCTCATAGCTAGGCCTCTCACTGATCAGCTTGGTAAAGATAATTTTTGTTGGACAAGGGAAGCTACTGTCGCCTTAGAAACTGGGGGTAAGAGAAAGGAAAAGAGAGATGGGCACATAGAACCAGTTTTAAATGTACCACTAAAAGCTTGTATAATATCATTGAATATGTAGTGATAATATTTTTACACGTAGTTAGTACCACTAAATGAATATACAATACCATTAAATGAATTTATAGTACCTCTGAATGTTCAATGATACTATTTGATCATCTAGTGATACTATAAATCACCTAGTGGTACACTCTAAATCTAGCACATGGGGGTGAGAGAAAGGAGGATAGAGATGGATAAGTGGGGATCATTTTTAAATGTACCATTGAAAGCTTAGATAATATCATTGACTATGTAGTGATATTATATCTACACATAGTGAGTACTGCTGAATAAATATATAATACCACTACATATATACATAATACCACTGAATGTTCAATGATACTACTTGATCATCCGGTGATACAATTGATAACCCAATGGTATTATTCTAAATTCAGAAATGCATTTACGTGAAATAACCCCAACACCCCTCCTTATGTATTTATTCATACATCACAAACCTCCCTTTGGAAGGTCTCTACTCTCCACAAAGTTTTAACAAATTTTACCTTGCAAAAATTTGAAAGAATGGCTCCTAAATTGCAGGACTCTGCTTTGTATCCAAACAACAAAAAGTGCGATGCAGTATTCAAAAGAAAAAAGAAAAAAGCTAAGTCAAATCAGCAACCCTCAGCTCCTGCCTCTTCCTCCGTTTTTATCAATCAATTCAACACAGAACACTCCTTAGCTGGGCTCGGGTGGAACAAGTTTCAGACTACGCATCCACTCGCAGAAGCTTGGATCATCGAAGTGAATAAAACTGCTTTTCAACTTAGCTCTTTGGTCTGAGTTCAACGTTCGAAGCTGTGGGAATCTTGCTTCCTGCATCCAGTGTTCAAGAATCACAAATTTATGAACATAAGAGGGTAAAGGTAAACGGTCATAACTACAATAGTACAATGTAAATCTATTCAGGAGTATAATTATTGAAGCGTGTCACACGGTTAATCTTTAACAGTATAAATCACTTCAAGGATGCTAAGGTAAGAAAGACAAGGTGAAGGCACACACATCACGTACTTCAGAATGTGACACGCATCACAGATATTCGTTTTTCAGAAGGCCTTTTGGATCCTTCAGACTTCATTTTTTGCCACATTAACTCACTCAAAATTCCATAACTATCATTAATCGTTCACATTCTCCATCTTTATACAAATATGCTTTAATTAGGAATTCTTACTTGAAGATGCCGTCATTAAGGGTAGACCTTTGAAAGTCTTTCAAAGTGGCTCACCCTCATGATTGCAGGAGGGTGAGTAAAGTTGGAAAAGTTCAAATTTTAACTTGCTAGATTTAGAAAGTAACTTGGTATGAACTTATTTAGCATATTATAATTTTGGGACGAAGTGAATATTGTTGATGAGTAGTAGTTTTGAAGAAGCATTAGCAACAGAAGGGAGTGAGAAAAACCTAAAAAATTAAACAGAATGAAGTGGGGAGTGCCTACCTGTTCATAAGCTGGATCCTTGTGAGCAGGTATTAATCGGGAAACAAAATAACGAGCTTGAGAAGTTCCTTCCTGTGGAGGATAAATATATGTTAGCATTTCACCTTATCTCTATAGGTGGGAGGGAGATCTAGAAGAGTAAAAACTGAAAAGAAGTGAAGATCAGAAGCAGAAGAGAAAATGTAACCTTAAATGCAAGGATACGTGGAGCTGGAAACCTTGATTCACTAAGCTCCTCTGCCAGTGTTCTACAAGCTGCTAAGGCTGCAGCACAGTTTATCTCTTGAGCAGAAAGCTCAGCACCCTGGAAATAAAAATTAAACAGGACAATATTTATTAGGAAGCTACTGACAAGGATGTGTGTTATGTAAATTATGAATTATCCGGGGGAGGGGGGGAGGGGGGAGAGGGATAATATATTATAAAAGCAGGCAGTAGCATTCAGCAGGACATGAACAAAAGTCACCAAGAGAGAGAGAGAGAGAGAGATGCCTGTGCCACAGTCTGCAAAGGTCATAAGCAAGTAGGTAGATTCAACAAAAATGAATGAATTGCACGAGGGAAATTGAATATAACCCAAAACATACCCACCACTCCTCCCTCATCTTCCAAAACAAAGTAAAATAAGACACCTCAAATGGAAAAGAATACAAAAAAATTCTCATTGTACCCAATCCAAAATAAAAGTTGTTTAGGTCAATACCTTTTTATCCAAAATTTAAGCCATTCAACATTACTACAGCAATATAAAATCCAATTTTACTATATCAATACAAAATTCTACATGTTCAGTTAAATGAAGGAAGTATTAAAGTGGTAATTCAAATGAAGTTTCAATGTCCATGCAATGTTATTTCCTAGGAAATGCCAAAATATGTTTGTTTGGACGTAGGACTTTTGATTTCCCATGAGAGATTCCACTGCCATGGGGTAAGGGATCTAGGTAAGTAAAATCTTCCATTTTGTGGGAAAGTAGAACTCCCTATGTTATTGTAATTTGTAACAAAACAAGTGTACAATACATCTATTACCTAGGAAAATCAATTATTTGCCAACCAAAAGACAACTATGTCATTTTATTAATCTCAATAATATATTAATAGCTAGTAGCTACCCTACAATAAATAAAAAAAATAAAAATATAAAAAGGAATTCTAACTAGAATTAATTTTTGATAAGTATGACCTGTTTATTTGGTAGTAAATAATACGAGATTCACATTTGTGCTCTCTAGCTAACAATAAAATGCTTTCATTTTTAGCCATACTCCTCGAACAAAATTCTCTAGTATACAGCACGAACATGTGAAGGCTAAAATTATGCTAAACATACCTCTCAAGGGCTTATCTTACAGTAAAGCACCAGTGAAGAAAGTGAAAAACTTACCAACCAAATGAAGATATCTGTTCCATGATCTAGAACAACAGCGGTATCTGACTGCATGGATAGATCATAAGCTGGCAGCTCCTCAAAGGTGCCTCCTTCCCTATTCATTAAACATCGAGGCGCCACCATTCGCAAAGAAAGATCAAAAGATGCATTTAGAAATAGATTTCTCAACACAGATCTCTCATCTTCATGACCAACGATGCTTCCCAGCAGCAGACCTCTTCTAAGATGGAACAAGTGCTCTGGCAACGAAGAAAGCTCTTTTGGGAACTTATAGAGCTTAGATTTTGGAACTTGTGAACCAAACTTCAAAGCTATATCTTTCACTCTTTCATCTATTGTAGAACGCAAGCTAACTGCCTCAGGCGCAGATTTAGCTCGCAAAAGAGTCTTCTTGGCAATAAGAACTGCAGCGACGTCATCTTGAACACTGTCAAGATAGGCTGACACACTATCAACAGTAGGCAATCTTATTGTGATAACCCTAGTAATATCAGCTGCGTAAACATTTGAATATTGCATAGAAAATTGAAAGTATACATGTTCGTGTTTTATGTCTCTTTTGGTGTCCATGAAAACTGAAAAGCTTTGTGTTTCTTCCACACTTAGCATCTGAACCGAGACAGAAGCATTATTTTTAAAATTTTCATGTGAATCCAAGTGAGCTTCCTCACCTGGACCAACAACTTGAGTGACAAGAAAGTCCTCGGGAACACGTATCTCAAGCAAACCATGGGAACCTGCTGCCCTACTAGATGCCCTCTGCAAATTAACACCAAAAACCTCCCCAAAGTCGTCATGAAGGATAAGAACACCACCAGAGGCTCTTGAGAGCGGCTGCAGAACAGGAACTCTGACAGGGCACGTTCCAGCACAGAAAATATCTACAACAGTTTGCTGTCTATGAGCCTCCTGACCCAAGTGTTCCATCCACTTCATTGCAGTTTTTTCAAGATAAGGATAGTTTGGGTGGCTAAATGAATGTGGAAGTGCTCCAGGACCAAATGTATTAGGTCCACCAGCACAAACTAATAGCCTACTCTTACCCCCTGGCCTTTTCACCACTCCTCGGGACAAATCAGCAGATGGCCCTTGTATAATTGCCAGAGCAACTTCCACTGCGGTACACAAGCAGCGGTCTCTAGCAGTCTCAGCAATGTTGGCCTTGAAGGGCCTGAATGAGGAAAATATGGTGTGTGCTACAGGAAGCGAAGCATGCACAGGAGACAAGTATACACCAGTCCCATAAATTAGTGCTCTTAAACTTTCCTCACTAGGTGACTTATCCCCTGATAGCACATCAGCAGATGCAGTAGAATCCTCAGAAAAATCATATACAGATACTGTTCGACCATATGAAACGATACCTATTCTAGTTGTTGGCGGGAGTGAGTCAACAAAAGCATGAAGAGAACTTTGCAAATGCTGAAGGTGTGGTTCATCTAAACATTCATCAATGACAAGGATAATGGGAGCAGAGGTTCTCGAATCCGAAACAGGAACAAAACCTGATAATCGGCTTCCAGTTTGGACATAATCAACCACAAAAGAGGATAATTCAGGAAAGCTACGCAACTCTGCCTTGCTCGATGCTACATATTCACCGTCACTCCCATTCAAGTTACGACAAACAATACATTGCCACTGCCCTGAAGTCGGTATAACATTACAATACGGATTTGGATAAGCACCACAACTTTGGCAACGATGAGAATCACGCTGAATTACTTGAGGACCTTGGGGAACCTCTCTTCCAGGCGAAACCACTACTCCAAACCCCAAACTTGGGACATTTGCTTGCTTTTTCTGCTTCAATATCTGCCATAAACCAAAATGACAACACTAACATCAAGAAAACAACCAAATGCTATACCTCGACCAACAGTCAAGAACAAAGTATAGATGGCAATTAGATTAGTTTGTTAAAGACATTCGAGGACCTGATATAGACTGCTATAATACGCACAATGAAAGCACCCAAACCTCGAAACAAACTAAAACAACAAGAAGTTGTACTTGTATTAAATTAGCCTGTTAAAGTCATTCGAGGACTCGAGATAGACTACCATTACACGTACAATGACAGATCAAATAGCACCCAAACCTCGAAACAATCGAAAACAAACAAAAGTAGTAATAAAGCTTGAAAATTTCAGGAAAAAAAAAAAATCAAACAGATCAAAACAAATACCAATTCAATTACAATGCACCAATACAAGAAAACAGAAATCAATCAAGAAAGAAAAAGAGGGAAGAAAGAAATTACCTTGTGAGCAGAAAAGTGAACAAGGGGAGCAATGGATTCAAAGGGTGAAAGAGAAGAATGATCAAAAGAAACATTTTGAGAAGAATAACTTGGAGGAGAAGAAGGGGGTAAAGTAGAAGAAGGAAAAGACGGGGTTGTTGTAATTGGAGGTGGGAAAGCAACCGCAACCGGTTGCGGCGAAGCAGGGGATGTTCGGAACGGCACTGCAGCCGGTCTCAGCGGCGAGGTGAACACGGGCGGCCCGGGCGGTGTACTCAATTGCGGCGAATTCGCAGACGAAGACGACGCAGTCCCTGCCTGATGCTGCTGCACCATTAATGTGGGAGGAAATCTTGGTGGTGTAGCTAATAATTTCTCTGATTTGGGAGCTGATTCTGGTAAAGTCGCCATTGTTGGATGCTTAATTTCAGCAATTACAGCCAAAATTATTAACAAGAAGTGAACCCCTTTTGGAGGAGATTTCGCATTCGCCCCTTTATTCTGAATCGAAAAAGGTTAAGCATTAAGCAGTTTGTTCGAATTAGATCGGAGTATTCTGAATTTTGGATCAGGAAGAACCTTAATTTTTCAAAATTTGATGGGTGAAATTATGATAATCATCCAAGATCTTGTTGTACTGGAGATCAGATGCTTAATTGGGAAAATCCGATCTCAATTGAAGTAAATGTTGGGCGATCAAACCGAAATTGAGTGTAACTTTGAATAAAATGGGAAAATTGTAATAATCATGATAATGGAAACTTGGGAAGAATTGAATTGAAGGGCTGCTTGTGAAGCTCTGTAGTGAGAACCGGGAAACTATGGAAGGAGAAGTCAGCCAAGTGGTGCAAAGAAAGTCAAGGGAACTTAAAAATGGTGAAAGACATAAACTCACAAGTTTGTGAAGTGGATCAAAACCTTGTCTGTCTATAGTTGATGTCTTGACTCTTGAGGAGTGATTTGCTAGTTGGGCGTGGGGCTTTATGGGCTGGGTCATGGTGTAATACCCCGATTTCTAGAAACTATATACTGTGGCTAATTGCCTAGTTGGAGGTCAATTGACCACAATTGATATAAATATTAGGAAAAATTACAAATAATAATACTTCCTCCGTTTTTTTAATATTGCACCACTTATCTTTTAAGGAAGTTTCACATTTATTGCACCATATTCATTTTAGGAAAAGAAATTTATGTGTTCACACTATAAATACCTACTATACCCTTGCTTTTCAACCCGTACTTTTATTTTGTGCATACAATCACATGGGCAACTTGGTATTTCTACCTTTCTCTCTCATCCTTTTTTCCACTATCAAAAAATTTGTGCCAAACCCTTATGGTGCAATAATAAAAGAACGGAGGAAGTACAACATTTGGCAGTTTCTTTTTAAATAATACAATCTTTGAATTACATTTTAATATTACAAATTTTGGGGGTGTCCACTTTTAACAGGCAAAAATCGGTTGGTACTCTGTTTTTACCATGTCATGTGTCGTGTTTTATTGATTTAGTCCATTTAACTTGTATGAAACCCGTGCAATTTCACTGTTTTAAAAGTTCAAATACTAAATTTTATAAAATTTAAATAGTAATTAAATTAATTCACAATATTGAAAACTTATACAGCATTATAGATCGCAATAAATGCAACCATTAATCACAATAATTACTTGATATTTTCAATTTATTGTTTTGCAAAAATAAAGACATACTAAAGATATGAATGGTTTATGGGCTTTATATATTTAGGTTATATTATACCTTTTAATCAGAATGATTTATATATGTTTATTTACATGTCTCATAATATATTACTAGGGATGGCAGTGGATCCGGACTCGACCTGGATCCGTGGATCCAGATCCGATTTCAAACTTTTGGACCTATCGGATCCGTGTCGAATCCGGGACCTGCTGAATAAAGGATCTGGACCTGTCGGACCCCTAGACCCAGACCCAAAACCGTTTACCCGTTTTTTTAATTTTCCTATTAAAAAATCTCTAAAACTTTTTGTTTCTTTATTTAAAATGTTGATGATGTTAGTACTGATAAAAATCGGTCCTTTTAAAAGATGAATTTTAGATGCTCATATCGGATACATCATTGTAGTTTTTTCACTTGCTCATTTGTAACATCGTACTTTTTTGTTGTTTAAAATTTAATTTTAAAATATAAGTATATAAGTTGGTTATTTATTTTGTGTTTATAGATTAGTTGTATAACTTTAATTTAGGTTGAACTTAATAACCCGACAAAAGTTTGAAATGTATTTTTTTACCCAAACATTACATTTATTGCAAAAACTAGGCAAGATATATTAGAATCGTTTTGGACCCGAATCCAGACCCGGATCCATTGGACCCATCGAATATGGATCCGGGTCGCCATTTTCAAGACCCAACGGATCTGAGTCGGATCTGGATCCTTGTTCCAAAAACGGATTTAGATCGGGTCCATCTGGACCCGATCCAGATTCGACCCGTTGCCATCCCTATGTATTACCCATTATGTGTATATATATTTAAATCAAACTAGTAAAACATACTCTCTTTGTCCCATCAGGTTGTCATATTTTTAAAAAAATCCAAAATACAAACGTCCAAACTATACATCACAAAATTTTGTATGCGGTCTGATGTACCATGCAGCAGGGATTACTTGAGTTACTCGGTTAGGGGTTGTAGACACCCAAATGTGTCTCTCCAAAACCAAACCCGGTGATGAATACCTTTTGCGTCGAATCATAACGAATAAAGTGAAAGTGTGGAAAGTCTAGTGTTGCGATTAGTTTTTATTAAAATTCTCTTATTTCTGTTTTCGAAAACCTATTCTATTTTATGAAAATAGCCAATACAGTTTATTTTGGTACATGAAAAGGGTCCAATAATAGTGTAGTTGGATAGGGATCGAAAAGTGTTTTCCAACGATATATTATAAGCCCAATTCCGATGAATAATGAGGAAGTTATGGCCAAAATACTAAGTTGGGCCCGATTTGGTGTTTATACACGGCCCAATGATCTAGAGGAGGGCCTTTATGAATCAAAACCTTTTGTGTGCCCCGGGTGTACAGTAATTTATTGTACATCAGCAATTCTCACACGTGTGCCACTAATAAATTCATTATCCCCAATACTCTGTATTATTCTCTCTCCTCTCTCTCTTCCAACAAACTACCAAATTTACAAACACATTCAACCTCAAATTACAATAAGGTTGTTGTTAGGATGATCTCTCATAGAGTTTTGCTTCCTTTGATCTATATTTCTCAGTCTGCAATTGATTTTTCGTTTTATCAAATTTCGAACCCTAACATTCTTAAATTTTTTTTTTTGGTGCTACATTCTTAAATTGTGATATTTCGCTCTCAAATTTTTCTGATTTAGGTTTCTAATTGATATTCCGATCAAATTTCCGAGCCTTCATAACTTTGGATTTAGAGAACGAGTGATGTATCAGTCGAAAAATCAGGTATTTATTTCCATTTTAAAATCAAATTTTCATTTTTATGTATAAAAATTACCCTTTTTACCCACAAAAGTTACCCTTTTTATCTATAAAAGTTACCCTTTTTACCCACAAAAGTTACCCTTTTTATGTATAAAAGTTATCCTTTTATCTATAAAAGTTACCCTTTTTACCCACAAAAGTTACCCTTTTCGTGCATAAAAGTTACATTTTCTACCCACAAAAGTTACCCTTTTTACCCACAAAAGTTACCCTTTTTACCCTCAAAAGTTACCATTTTTATCTATAAAAGTTACCCTTTTTACCCACAAAAGTTACCCTTTTCGTGCATAAAAGTTACCTTTTCTACCCACAAAAGGTACCCTTTTTATACATAAAAGTTACCCTTTTACCCATGGAAGGTACCCTTTTCATGCATAAAAGTTACCCTTTTTTTTTCTTCTGCTTCCTTTGCAACGTTTCTTCTTTCCTCAGCTTCTTTTTCTTTGCAATTGCAGCCTTTTTTCAATTGCATTAACATAATCAACATTTTGAAAAAATCATGAAAAAATTAATAAAACACACCTTCATCTTATGACGACTTCTTTGTACTCTTCTTCTTCACCATTGTAGAATTAAATAAAAAACAAAGAACAAAAACAAAATAAAAAAACCTAAAAATCGAAGAATCAAAACAACTAAAACAAACAAAAATCTCATAAAATTAAGTAAACAAACTTAAATTTGCAAATAACAACTTCATAAGTGAAAGAGAAGAGAGATAATCGTTGTTGAAGAAACATAAACCAGGTTGAATAGAGATAGAATTGCCAATTGAGGAAGAAAGAAGAGAGAGAAATAAGAGAGAGAAAGAACTTTCTGAATGAATGAGAAAGAGAGAGAAAATATTGGTTTTTATTTGTAGGCAGTGAAGCTTGGCATGTGTGAATCAAGATCGAAACAAAATTGTTTATTTTTAGAGAGCCGATTTACACTAATTTAGTGTAAATCGAATGTTATTAAACATTTGTGTATATGAATTATCATTCCTAATGCAATTAAGATTGATTATAATCTTCTAGAAGGTTCTTTTGAATCCTAATGTGATTAGGATTGATAATTAAATTTTATGAGTTTTATTTGGAATAAAAGAAGTGTTTTAAATGAAATTATGATTTTACCCCTCATACGGACTTTTGCGATTTAATTTTGTTAAAAAACTAGAAAACTTGTGGGAAAATCTCCTACAGCGCCGAACGCCAGGCTGTCGCCTAGCGACAGACTTGTCGCGCGGCGACAGACCCTGTCGCGCCGACAACGACGTGTTTTATTCCTTTTCAAACTCCGATTCTTTTTTTTTTCTAATCCGGACTATTTTCATTATAAATAGCGTCCTTAGACGTCCATTTTTAATCACCAACTCTCATCAAGAATTTCTTGATTTTCTCTCTCTCTTTTTCTAAACCAACCTTTTTACAAACAAAATTCCACATTCACAAGATCACACACCTAGCATAATTCGAAGTTGCCTTCGCCCTAGACGTGAAAGGTTTGGTATTTCTGAGGGTTTGGTCCCAAATCCCTATTTCAACTATTTAATTTAATTGTTTAATTTTATATTTTCCTTGAACTTACTAACGTGTGTATTTTGTATATGGGACTAACAAATTGAAATATAGAGAGTATTATCTTATTTGTAATTATGACTATATATTGTAGTCGGACTATAATTATGTAGTCATAATCTAACAAATATAGTTATACAATAAATATAGTAAAGAACGAACTATAATTATGACTACAAGCTGGGTTATATTCGAGGAACTGATTTCGTAAGTATATATTTTATAAAATAATCTAATATCTATTTTTACATATTTTTCTATATGAATATATTATATTAGATTATTTTGTAAAGTTATTATGTAAATATAATGAATATATTACACTATATTTTTCCTTGCAAGAATTATTTTTTTTTAGTTATATGAATATACATATTTATAGTATATTGCGATATCACAATTTTACTTGATATATTTAGAGGTGGAAAAATGAGCGGGAAAATTTTTAAGCATAGAGTGACACGTGACAAGGTGTAACTTGAGTTTCCTATGTTTTAGTATAGTTATAAATTTGATTTTGTTTGAATTTATTTAATTTTGTTCATTTTTAAAATATAAAAATAATAAAAAATTACTTTTATTATTATAATCAATATAAAAAAAATAAAAATTAAACAAAAAAACCACCACCCCTACCACCATCTTCCCCAACATCCATGATCCTGCCACCATTCCCTCTCCCCCCCCCCTTACATAGCTTCCCTCTCCCCCAGCCCAAAAACCGATCGGCCGACCACCGCAGCCACGATCCACCTCTTTCCAACCACCGCAGCCCCCCTCTCCCCTCTCCTCATACAAACGAAACAGCAAGCAACCTTTGCCTTCCCAGACAACCACAACCTAGAAACGAACCCCTCCCCAATTTTTCGACCCCCATAAACCCTATTCCCTACCCAAAACCACCAA